TGAGTACTACGGTAGATATGATGGTTCAGGTGAACAACGTCCAGGACCATTTGCTAGATACCTAGAGGAATGCGGTATCGTCCCACAGTACACCATACCGGGTTCACCTAGCATGAATGGTGTAGCTGAAAGACGAAATAGGACTCTTAAGAATATGGTAAGAAGTATGATTGCTCATTCTTCTTTACCAGAGTCACTCTGGGGAGAAGCACTTAAGACAGCAGCTTACATTCTAAATAGAGTACCAAGTAAAGCAGTTGCTAAAACACCTTATGAGCTTTGGACTGGTCGAAAGCCCAGTTTAAAGCATTTACATATTTGGGGATGTCCAGCTGAGGCAAGGCCTTATAGGCCAAATGAAAAGAAATTGGACTCCAAAACAGTTAGCAGCTACTTTATTGGGTACTCTGAACGCTCTAGTGGCTATAAGTTTTATGATCCCACTATAAGGAATATTTTTGAGACGGGAACAGCAACATTCTTTGAGGATGTTGAGTTTGGGGGGAGAAATAAGGTTAGAGACATTAGTTTTGAGGAGGAATTGGCTTCAGATCCAATCCATACAGTTACTTTTGACAATATTCAGGTTCCTATACCTGTTGTTGCTCAAGAAGTAAATCCGGAACCTCAAGATGATAATGTTGAACAACTCCCTGTTCCAGAAGAACAAACTCAACAACCTCAAGAACTTATGCCATTAAGGAGATCCACGAGAGAAAGGAGAAATGCTATTCCGGATGATTATATTGTATTTCTCCAAGAACATGAGGAAAGTAGTGGAATGTTAGAAGATGATCCAATCAACTTCTCTCAGGCCATAAAAAGTTATAACTCTCAACAGTGGATTGATGCCATGAATGAAGAGTACAAGTCTATACAAGACAATAAAGTTTGGGAACTTGTCTCATTACCAGAAGGTGCAAAACCAATTGGTTGTAAATGGATTTTTAAAACCAAACGGGATGCAAACGGTAATGTGGAGAGGTATAAGGCACGTCTTGTAGCTAAAGGCTATACTCAAAAGGAAGGCATTGATTATACAGAGACTTTCTCTCCGGTTTCATCGAAAGACTCTTTCAGAATAATCATGGCACTTGTTGCTCATTATGATCTTGAGTTACATCAGATGGATGTTAAGACTGCATTTCTCAATGGAGACATTGATGAGATGATTTATATGGTGCAACCAGAAAACTTTGTGTCAGGACACCCAAAGAATATGGTTTACAAATTAAGAAAATCCATCTATGGACTCAAGCAAGCTCCTCGTCAATGGTATCATAAGTTTCAACAAATAATTATCTCGTTCGGTTTTGAGATGAACATTGTTGATGACTGTGTATATCACAAGTTTAGTGGGTCTCGTTCGGTTTTGAGATGAACATTGTTGATGACTGTGTATATCACAAGTTCAGTGGGAGTAAGTATATTTTTCTGGTTCTGTATGTGGATGACATCTTGCTTGCCACTAATGATATAGGCATGTTGCACGAAACCAAGAGATTTCTATCAAAGAATTTTGAGATAAAAGATCTTGGGGACGCCTCTTTTATATTAGGGATCCAGATACATCGAGATTGCTCTCGGGGTATTCTTGGATTATCACAAAAGAGCTATATCGATAAGGTACTTAAAAGGTTTAGCATGCAAGATTGCAGACCAGGTAACACCCCTGTTGCTAAAGGAGACAAGTTTAGTCTCAATCAGTGCCCTAAAGGTAACCTTGAAATTCAGGAAATGCAGAAGATTCCTTATGCTTCGGCTGTAGGAAGTCTAATGTATGCTCAGGTATGTACGCGTCCGGATATTGCGTACATTGTTGGGATGTTAGGCAGATACTTAAGCAACCCTGGTATGGATCATTGGATAGCAGTCAAAAGGGTTATGAGGTATCTTCAGAAAACAAAAGATTACATGCTCACATACAGAAAATCAGAGAAATTAGAGGTCATTGGGTATTCGGACTCTGATTTTGCTGGATGCCAAGATAGCAGGAAGTCTACATCAGGCTACATTTATATGTTAGCAGGAGGAGCTATATCATGGAAAAGTGTCAAACAAACACTAGTAGCTTCCTCCACTATGGCAGCAGAATTTGTAGCTTGCTATGAGGCATCCAATCAGGGAATATGGCTGCGAAATTTTGTCACGGGACTGCGCATTTTGGAAAATGTTGAAAGACCACTAAGGTTATATTGTGACAATAAATCTGCAGTAATGTATTCCAATAACAACAGGAGCTCAACTAAGTCAAAACATATTGACATTAAGTTCCTGGTTGTGAAAGAAAGGGTACAGAGTGGACAGATATCCATAGAGCACATTGGGACAAACTCCATGATAGCTGATCCTCTTACTAAGGGACTGCCACCTAAGGTCTTTCATGAGCATACTGCTCATATGGGTGTGGTATTATTTGAGGATATTATGTTTTAGTGGGAGTTTGTATTTGTGGTGCTTTATGTTTGGTTGTATTGTCTGATCAGAATAAAGTATTCAGTTAAGACACTCTGTTACATTATGTTTGGTTTGACCTCACTAAAGGAGGACCAGTTGAAAATAGACATGTACTGATCACATTGCATGTAATTTTCATGCTGCACATCCATGATTGATCTATGTCGTTTGATTGTATTGGTATATGTGACCATTGATGGGTCGAGTCACGATAATGTGATGAAGGCCGCTTTGATCCTATATTGATATAGTTAATGGACGAGATTGTTCGGAAATACCTTTTCAGTGATAGCAATTTTTTGAGCTCATAAGGTTATACACAATTTAAGGAATCATATGGTGCCCAAGTGGGAGATTGTTGGATTTAATCTAATAAATCTAATTGTGGGCACATATGATTAATCAATGTGTATTGCTATCTTTCATGATAACCCACTAAAGTGATCAATTAAGTTGGGTTGATGGGTATTTAAATATAATCATGGGGTTATATGTGCAGATACCAGGTTGTAATTGTGATTTATTGAGGGGCTAAATTACAAAAGTTTAACATCTATAAATAAGGGGTTATGGTCCCTAACCTAGGGTTACACTCTCTAATTCTCTTCACCCCCATCTAGAGAGAGAAATTCGGATTTAGAAAAACTCTAAGGTTAGAAGATCATTGAAACCCAAATCAAGATTTCTTCTATGGATTCAGGTATAATCTTCCGCACTCTTTTGATTATTGTTAATCTCTTTGAATTAATCATGGCTATATGGTTTTAGATCTCAAGTTTTGGTTTAGATCTAACACGATCTACATGAAATAGATAACCTAATAAATACGGGACAAATCTTTACCGCGAATATTCAAGAACCAACGAAAACAGGGAATTTTTTTTCAGAAAAACAAATAAATGTTGAGATCGATACATACACGTGCAAATATCAAGAGTAACGAGAAGATAAAACCAGATCTATGAAATCACGCAAATATCAGAAATAATTACACCTTAATTACTGCTATTTATCTACAAACCCTAGCTATAAACAAGATCCGCTACCATTTCCACAAAATTGGGCAAAGACATCATCAGATCCAAACTTCTAGCATAAACAAAATACAACAGTTCATGCAAAAAAAAATAAAGAGATAAATCGAAGATAAAAAGATCAAGAAATGTTACCGACAATGAAGGAGGCGGCTGCTTCCAAGCGAGAGCAAATGGAGGCGTCGAATGAAGGGAGGTCCAAGACCCGCGGGTTTTAAATGTTGTGGGATTTATAGGCGTCCCTTTTTACGTTAATACCCTTGGTTTCGTTACATTTCTGGGGATGTTTTCGTCATTTAACACTGAGTTCTGTTAAGCTGATGGAAAATAGATTTTGCCCGTTCGATAGGTATCCGGCGGTTGAGGCCGCGTTATGTAACCGACGAACTGGACCATGCACAGCTTTATTTAAGGTTTTTGCGTATAATACCCTTCACAGCTTGCATATTTTGCAAAATTACTTTCTACGTTTTTATATTTGCATAACTACCCCAAATTCTCTCACGGTAGGTTTCAATCCCTCCCGCTAACACTTCAGTTTTTCCAAATGAAAAATGTTGCAAACATGTCAGATGTTATCGGAAACCATGTTGTTAAATTAAGGGGGGTAGAAAACCCCAAAAAGAGAGAATTATGGGCTTTTGCAAATACCAAAATGAGAAGACAGTTTTACAAATATGAAAGATTTGAGGGGTATTTATGCAAAAAACCCAAAAGGGGGGGGGGGGGGGGGCAGGCAGATTCTATTAGGGGGGGTGTTTGTTTCAAATCCTATAATTTTAGAATATGGATGGATTTCACCATGGAATTGAAATCCATAGGTGTTTTGTTATAAGTTGAGATTTCTAAAATGTTGTTTGTTTCATTAATATTTTGGGACTTGAAATACTACAATTTGTTATACTTTATTTGTTTCAAGCTCAAATTATAGCATTACCAAATGCCAAAATTTTATAATATGATGAATATGCTATCTTGATGAGATAACCTCCCACAAAAAGACAAAATTGAGATTTGTCAAATCCTTTCCAATTGAGAGGTAAGCACACTCATTTATGAAATTTGTCAAAATCCTCTCCAATTGAGAGGATTTGGGAGAGGATTTGGCAAATTCTAAAAATTGAACACTTTTTACACTTTTAGATTTTCGAATTCAATATTCTTAAAAAATTCTTAAACAAACATCATATATAAAGTCCCAAAATACAAAAAAACTCACTTTTTGATCCCAAAACTTGTAATCCATACCAAATGCCAAAATTTTTGGTGAAACAAACACCCCGTTAACCAGAGCTATAAACACCATAATTTTTTTTTTGCAAAAATAGAGATAAATAACTTGATAGTAGTAATTCACAAGAAAGAGTGCTATATATTTGATACCGAAATTTTGTTATGTATTACCATTGATCTTTATGATATGATGTACTTGTTAAAATCTACGGATGCCTGAAATGATTAGCCCAAAATGACGTTGGAGAACACAGCAAACAAAATGGAGAATCATACTAATGAAAGCACAATCCAGTAAACTTGCATAATCATAAACATATTGCACCAGGAGGAAACAATTTACTACTATACATTCCATAGGCTCAAACTCGGCTAAATACTCATTCCAAGCAGTTACAGACAAGTCATCAGTCGCTTCTCGATTGAAGCAAACAACCAGATGCTGACTGCAAATATTCCCCCGATATCAAACACTGGTTTTCGGGAATATATCAGAATATCTCAAGCACGATTTCTGGTAAAATCAGCACATTGCTGGGGAAAAAAACTATAACGGTTTATCCAGTGATATATTGCTCCTTGACTCCAATTCTCTTTTGCAGTTCTCCATTAGCTTACTTCGTGCTTGGAGATCTGACCTCTGCGATACAGAAAATGGAAACATTATTTTGACGGAAAAAATTCAATGGGGTATGGTGCAAAACCAGACACATAAAGAATTGCACTATGCACTAGCCATCCTCGACTTAGCAATAGAAGGAGTTTCGTCTAAGTTTATAACCGAGTTTATACACTGTTGGCCTAAATCCATGAGCTTAATTTTATAAAGTAATTATTCGATTTGGTGTCAGATTTTCAAGTGGTCCTGGGTTCAAATCTCATTAATTCTGAATCAGAATTTGACAATTCAACTATATTTATTTCCCCTTTCATAAAAATTCCAAACGAATTATCTCTCTGGTAGATGCATTTTCACATGATTAATTAAAGGAAGGAAAGTAAAATGTTAAGATTGTTTCATATACATTGTTGGCATGCAAGACATGACCTTTGGTTGGGCAAAGTGATTGACTGATAAAGTGCCGAAGTTTCAAGAGGTACTGAACTCACAATTTGCAATGCCTCTTTACCCTATTTGCAGGCCTTGATGCCTTTTCACGTGGCCTTCTCTTATTTAGTTATTTCCCTCATTAGCCTTAATCAATAGTATTTGCATCATATTTCATTAGTCTTTTACTCATTTTATAGAAAAATTCTACCTTTTATCGTACACCACATCAGGATCAATAATGTGGTCATGAACATGGTCCTTATGCAAGAACGGGAGATCAGATAGAAAAAATTATTTACTAAGATAATGGCTCAGAGGAATATTTAAGTCCAGTTTGAGGGTTTGATGCAGGTTAAAACTTTTACTTTCCTCGCAATGTCATCTTCTAGAATTGTGGAGCCTAAGAAATTTGCAGTTACTATCAACATTCTTCTTCTCTTTCTTATCTTGGTTGTCCTATAATGTTACATATTCAAGGATTTAATAATTACTATATGTATGCCCTGGTAATGGAAACTTCCAACCTTTCTTTGCAAGTTATCCAAATTGTCATTGACTTGCACTACCAGTCCGCTTTACCCATAAATACACAGATGATTAATCTACCTAAAATGGCTATCTTAATCAATTCTTGGATCATGCTCCTCTACACTAGTCAGCTTCAGCCTACTTTCTCACTAATACTTTAGAGAGAGAAAAACTGTGGATGCAGGTATCTACAGGGTTTATAAACTTTTATGGAAGTTTAGACTTTACAGAACATATCTCATTACATTTGTGCTTTTTGCTTTTAGACCTCGGTGCTTAATTTTCTTTATGGCAACTTACAAAGCCTAAAAGATGAGATTGACAAGGCTAGACTCCACGCATCAGATCAAAACTTGTAACTCCATGCATCAGATCAAAACATATAATGAGATGGACGTCAGAAAAGCATTCAAGTTCTCTCCGACAATATAAGTTGCATAGATTTCTTGATGGCCGTCAGTAGCATACCATGCTGTGCTAGAGAAAATTCATCTTTTTTCTATATAGGAACAAACCATCTAGAGCATTATATCAGGCTCCTATATCAAACATTTCCAGAGGACTGTTAATACAGAGAACTTGATCGAATCTTGATAGCTATAACACTTGACAAGGGTCAACAAAGAAGTGAAGTACAAAATAGAACCTAATGCCAAACTGAACCATAGGCTCTTGCAACCATAAGGAGAAGTATTGGATATTGGTGATTTATTGAAAGCCCATATTTGGAAAGAGAGGATTCTGATTGGCAAGAAAACTTCATGGCAATTGATAATTGGACTTTGCATGGGTCAAAAGGAACGATTTGGATTACTAGAAAATACAGACATATTGAAGACCTCTTATGTACATGGCTTGACAGTATGATCGAATGAAGTACATGGGTATAACAAAATAATGATTCCAAGACAGGAAAGTTTTTTCAAGCAAAGAAGAGTGATGTAGGATCTCTCCCCTGCATAATGGAATATTTTCGTTTTTAAGGGTCCCTTTATGTTAGGAGCTTCTATTTAGCAGATACTTTAAACTGTTTTAAATGTTGAAACAAGAAAAAAGGGGCGACGAATTTTGATCGAATAGAAAACTGGCACTGGTGGACTGGATGAAGCTTGTTGGTATAGATTATCAGGGAGTTTATCCAAGGAAAAGATGGATCCAATAAGGATGGTCAGATGCAACTCGGAAATGCTTCTGAATCATCACATTGTCAGTCTATCATCAATCCTGTTATCCATTTGAAGTTGGGTTTTAAGTTTGTAGTAATTCCTCAAATATGTCATCCCTAAAAAATGCGTAAAATCATCATATTTAGAGATAATATCCCAAACTATATGGGGCCATGAAACCTCCCCCTTTCGATATCTCTCCCTTTGATTTCGGATGGTTTTCTAAGATATGAAAGGTTTGAGGGGTCTATACATCTACAAAATCCTCATCATTATTAGGTAACTTACCAGAAAACCGAAAGCGACGTTCCCATTTTATTCTCAAACAGTAACAAGAACTAAGAATGCCTAAGATCCGGAGTCAATTTACAAATCTGACGATTTGATGGGCATTCTTCTACATATGAAAGATTTTCAGGGGATATATATCTAAATTTTCTTTCCAATTTTGGCATATCTTTTCATCTGGATTTCCAAGTATCTTTAAGCTGTCAAACAAGAACTTTCCATCTCATTAATTTCTTCTATTTTTCATTGATGTTCTCATTGCTAATAATATCTAAGTACGCACACTCTGCCTTCTTGAGAAAAATATATGGCTTCTTTTCAGCTACGCCATTGGCATGCTCCCAACTTCTTGCCACTCTTAAAAAAACCATCTCCTTTCAAGCCATCAACAAGACAATAACTAATCAACATGCTTCAGTTCTACCAGTAAATTTATTTGTATACAAGAAAATGATAAGGGATGAAAGTTTAGAGAATGACTCACGGTTTTGGCAATTTCATGGACAAGGGCATTCTGGGTACGAGAGAAGATCAAGTTCCAATGTTGCATGAGATCAACCTCTAATTTTGAAGGTTTGGAAAGCTTAGAGGAATCTTGAGTAAGTCTGAAAATTTGGTCTGCTGCACGCTTCTTGCTTCTCTGCAACTCTGGAGAAAGATACATGTTATGCACAGAGAAAAGACCACTAACTACAAATAGTCTTCTGCTAAAAATAAGAATAGTTAGGGGCAGTTAACAAAATGTCAATTAAGTTGTTATAAAAGAAAAAATGGAGGCTACCAGTCAGTCTGCCTCTTGTATCCTGGAAAGCAAGATCCATCCACATATGTGCCGCTGCTTGCAGTAACATAAACATCATTATGTCAAGAACATCCTCCTTTTTTAATTAGACCTAACCAACTAGAAATTCAAACCGACAAAGTAGAAGTTGGGCAAAGCTCTAAGAAAGAACAGTAGTAAGATACACATGATTCACCTTTGAGACAGAAAGAACATGAACATGGTTTTGCCAAGCCTATATTGTCCGACAATTCTTGAGTCAAGTTCCCCCCAGCATCAACCATATTTTCCTTCGAAGCTGAATGATCAGCATTGAGGTGGTGTGAAGAAGATATAGGTGCATCATGCCCCTTGACCATGTGAATGAGATTCTTTGTCGCGCTATCCCTTTTGTAATTCTCTTCTAATGTTTCATCTGATTCAGTCGATACATCATCTGATTCCTTGCTCTGACTTGGTATAGAAGCAGAAAATAAAGCTTTTATTCCTGAATGATAATTTTCCATAGTTTTATTAACAGCATTATCTTCATGAATTTCATCAGATATCTGAGGGCAGAATTTCTGTTTGGAATTTGGCGGATATGGGGGAAATGTATCAAGAACTTTCGATTTTCCTTTACTCAAACTGCCTTTACTTTCATCTAGCAATCTATCTGAACTTGAATTTATACAGCCAGACTCATGACCAAAACCTTCTAGGGCTGTTGTGTTTCCACTACAGGGTACATCTCCCAAGATACCTTTGTCAGAGGAGTCCATTCCACAAATTCCCAGGTAGATCTTCAAATTAAAGAAGGCTTACTTCAAGGCAAAAGGAAAGTTATCTTAGCAACATGAAAAGAATAAGAATAATTCAGTGTATTTAGCCATACAGAGTAGATCGTTGTAGGAAAACTTCTATAAAATGATATTACAAGCTAATAAAGTTCTAACTCCGTAGGAGTCCTCACTGACAATAGAATTTCTTTCTTTTATGTTTTAATGACAGGGAGCAACAATAAGTATTAAGCTTCAGTTTCACCAAAAAGTATAGCAATGGTCAAACATAGAACGAAATGGAAGAATAGGATTGATGCAGTCAACAACAGCAACAACACGTTTATCCCAAAATTTTGTTCATCTACATATCATGTGGACCCGACTATATTTTGCACTGGTTTCAGTTATCTAAAGCAACCCTCCTCCTTCATTCTTGGAACAAGCAATACTGGCAAGAAAACAAAGCACAACACTGGCGGAGTTAAATAGGATTCATGTAGCTGAGCTGATCCCAAAAGCTTCGGGTAAAGGCCCCGTTGCTGTTGTTGTTGTAGTAGACAGAAATAATTCCCAATGAAAAAAATGATAGGACCACTTGAGAATTCACAAGAGAAACTAACTCAAACAAACCCACATTGTCATGGGGCAAAACATTACCTAAAATAAATTCAAACATTACTGACAAAGAAAATTTTTATTTTTTTCTGACTTTGCTATTTAGATCTTTAATGGAACATACAACTTCATAGAAGAGTAATAAAAAATGAAGAATCTTACCAAGGTTATTAGAAATTTTTACATATGAATAATTCAATTAATAGCAGGAAGAAATACAACATTCCACATAAAAATCCGTGCAAATACAGCTGAATGAAGAACTGATAGGGAAAGTACAAGGCCAATCTCATCATACATCGCCAAAAGAAATAGAAGTTTGGAAAAATATATTAACAACGGAAAGGGTAGGGGATTCTTAGGCTTTTGCATGGAGACGATTTTCTTTAAAACCGCTTTTCATTCATCAAGAAGCAAAATTTGAGTCAATTTATTAACAACAAAATTAAGTTCCTGTGACTGGGTGGAAAGTAAAAGTGAAAGCTAGGAATTTTTCCCACCAAGTTAACCTAAAGTTTCTGATGAGTCGGTCTCAAAAACCAACCTTTTTACATGGGTACTTCATGCATTCACACAATAACCAAATCCACGGAAAACCCATTCATCAAATATCAAGAGATCAAGGTTCTAAACAATTATCCAAACAAACTAAAACATAAGAAAACGCTGAAATCAGTTAAAGATCCAGTTTTCCCACAGGGATATTTGAAACCCTAACCTAAAGATCAAATTTCAGGTACGCCCATTTCAAGAAGAACGTGAACAACAACGGAAAAACCCCCGAAAAGGAAATCTCTACAGAATTGATTAGCAATGATCCACTGTTTTTAGATAATACAGAGAAATTGAAAGTGAAAGGGTACCTGAATCGCGAGAAGTGATTAGGTTTAGGGTTTCGCCGCTGGAGAGAGGGGAAGCGGGTCCGGGGAGATTTAAGGCGGGAATCGGAGAGAAAAGAGCGGACTTTGGTTCCTAGGGCTTTTGGCACGTGATCTGCATGTGCTGGGTCGGATCAAACGAGTCGAACCCGTTAAACGAGTCCGCTCCGCTGATGCCTCACGGGTCATCTCTTCTCATAAACAAACGGGTCGGAGCCGAGACCCAGTAAATTGAGAAAGCTCTTTCGGCTATAGGGTCTTTATTGACACGCTAATTTCCATTCTTTTACTTTTTTTGAAGACTGGTTTTATGTACGTGCAATGCATGTGGTTAAATATCAAAATAATTTATTTTTTATTTTATTACTATAAATAAGTCATATTTATTTTAATTATTAGATTTACTATAAATTTTATTTAAACATTATAAAAAAATGGATGTAATGGATTTTTGTACTAAACCGAGATCAATATACTTAACTGGGATATCATAATTGATTTTCACAGAAAAAGATATCAGTTGACATAATAATATCTTCAAACAGAATCGTAAAAAAAATAAGTTAAATTGATACTACATATCATATTCTAAACTCTACCAATCACAAGCTATAATATAGAATCAATGATGAGTAACAATATCATTATGAACTTTAGTTCTAGCAATAAAAAAATAACATTTCTTATTGCATTGAAAATAGAATTATACTGCACTTTTTAACATTATAAGTTCATGTTTTATAATAAACAATCTCAAAAGCAAACATAAAAAAAAGAAGTACGATAAACATTATATATATGTGAGATCTCAGCCTACATTATTTAATAGACTTAAAATAATAAAAAGACAAAACTAAAGATTAATGATAACTATAGTAAATTTTTATGTGATAAAAGCAATCACATAAGCATACAAAAATACTAAAATTTTTGCATGAAAATTCCTTCTAAAAATTCCTAATTTTACTCAAAATTTAAGTTATAGTATAAAATGTTCAAAAAATATTATCATTTATTCTTTTTATTTCATATTTTAATTGAGCCGAGATCAATCTATCTCCATCTTTATCTTTTTATTGAGCAATTCTAGAGTAGCGTCTTCATCATCTACATTAATTGTGATATCAGATTGGAGTTGAATTTCTTAAAATTAATCTCTTCAAATAATAAAGCCAACACCAAAACCAACTCATTTGTCTTCTGCTCCCCCCTTAAAAATCATAACCCTAATTCATGAAATGTGTTTGTACATAATGAAGAACAAAAGACAATGTCAAGAGTCAAAAAAAAAAAGAAGGAATTGAATAAGAATCGTTAGGTTTGTACATGATAAAGAGCAAAAGATAAGATAAAAGTCTAGAAATATATTAGGATATACTTGGATCAATTAAATTATATTGTTACTCATAATTGATATGCATAAGAGACAATATATATTGACAATCTTAAACTATAAAACAAATTGTATGGGCCCTCTTAACATAATTTTTTAATGCAAGCAACCCCAAAGATTAATTTTGAAAATCTCTTGATTTTATGGAAGGGTTTGGGTGTAAAGAACAAATGTTAAATTATGTTATCTGACTAAAGTAGGATCATATAAGTTAACCACATGTATGAAAATTATTTTAACCAAAACTTATATATAAGTATTATAATTGGCATTAAGATCAAAGATACATGTGAGATTCTCTTTGACTTTTGTACAAACAATATCTATTTAAATAATAATAGTATAATTAAACTTTGTGATCTGAAAAAAAAAATCAAACATACAATATAATTAATTACTTTAAATTAATCTAATCTAATTTAATAAAAAAAAATAGGTGAAAGTACTGTGAATGTTGTTGCAATTTTATAATTCATAATTCTTAAACAATCTAATTTATTCTAATAAGAATAAAATAACAAAGACGCATACTTGTTTAAGGAGATAAAAGTACTATAAAAACTATTATAATTTCTTAATCTAAAAAAGATCAAATATACAGTATAATAATTACTTTAAAATAATTTAATCTAATCTAATAACAAAGACACATGCCTGTAGAATGAGATAAAAGTGCTATAGAAATTATTGTAATTTCTTGTCTTATATAAATTCGTATATGATGTTGCATGTGAGAGGATGACAATTATAAACGGAGTTCTATTTAAATAATAATAGTATAATTAACTTTTGAAACTAACTATGCAGTACTTTGAACTACTTCAAAAGTAGTCGGTGAGAGATCGCTACTTAGTGTGTAATTATTAATCATATAGCATGTGAATAATTGTTTGCAAATTGACATTATTAATCATGTAGCACGTAAAAAATTGTTTGCGGATTGGCATTATTAATCATGTAGCACTTGAATACTTTATAGTTTGATCATTAATCACATATAAGAGCGAGGGGGTAAATTTGGCATGTAATAAATCGTCTAGTTAACCTAAGTGTATCATGAACTACTTGAATTTTAGTCGGTGAGAGATCGCTACGTTGTGTGTAATTATTAATCATATAACATGTGGATAATTGTTCTCGGTTTGACATTTTTAATCATGTAGCACGTGAATAATTGTTTGCAGTTTGATCATTGATCACGTATAAGAGCGAGGGGGTAAATTTGGTATTTAATAAATCGTCTAATTTACCTAAGTTGCTCTTTCGTTCAGGTTTACATTTCAATTTAAACTATATCCTTATCTTCATACTATGTATATCCAATAAGAATTCATCAATTTATCAACTTACCGTTACTTAATGGATTAGTATTTGAATTCTAAGGGTATTTTTGTCTACCAAAAGATTTTTTTCGAACTCGTGTTTTTAAATGGAGTATAATATGATATGATTTTAGGAGAATAAGGGTTCGGTTTGTGAGGTTCATTGATCACCAACATAATGACATCAGTGTTCAGAATATTCATACCTGTGTATAGTCTCACGCTAAAAAAGCTAAGAAAGATGGATTAGTTGAATATAAGTTTAGTCAATATCTAATAGCTTAAAATTTTGAATTTGTTTTCAGTGTCTATTTGAAGTTCATACATCTCCATAGAACTAAAATTCTCCCGCAATTAGATGCAAAGCAAAATAAATTTGAAATTATGAGGTTTTATATAATCATTGATTTGACTGCATATTTGTTAGAGTATCACATGTGACGATCTGATATTTAATTTGCATAAGGGAGACTGTTAGTAAACTATTACGTGAAGTCTAACCTTGCACATAGTAATCCTTGGATTCTACCCCCCACCCCCACTTTTTTTTTCCCCTCCTTATTATTTTTATTATTATATAAATCAGCTTAGAATTAAACCCATGACCATGAGACCGTACTGAAACCTCCAAAGTGTCTTATATCATCCAAGGGGGTCTTCCTTCCATTCAATTGTTGGTTTCAGATTTTCTCAAAAAAAAAAAAATTGTTGGTTTCAGATTATTGGCGCGTTCGACCGTTTGGCGGTTTTTGGGCCTAAGCCTCTGGGACTTGAGTTAATAGCGTGAGGGCCTCTTTGGGCCGCCTCTGCAGTTACTGGTCTCTAACCCTCGGGCATATGAGCTAATAAATTAAGGTTTATGTTAGGCCCATTAGCAGCTTCCGCAGTTCTCAGCCTTTAAAGCTTGGGTAATTGAGTTAATAGAATAAGGCCTCGTTTGGGCCCACTTAACTGGGCCTAACGTCTCAAAGGCTAAGGTTACTCTCTCTGGCATCTTCGTTTTGCCTGAATCGTTATTTATCCCCCCCTTTCCTTTGCACATGCCTTAGAAATTTGATTTACAAAGTATTTAAATTTTAGCTTTATAAACTTCGAAACCCTTCAAATTTTCATCTTAGCGATTTAATAAATGTCTCTCCGTCCCCTGCACTGCACCTCGCTTCACTCTTTCTTATAAGCCGTCACATTAACATAACATATTCCTTAGGTTAATTACACGGTAGCTAATCAAAGGGAACCCGAGGTAATCAAACAAAGGGTGTTGCTACAGGGACTTCAAAATAGGGGACCCCTGAGGAGACAGGTGATGTGTCACCTCCAGGGGCTAGGGCTGTAACTTGAAAACCGATAACCGAAAAAATAACCACACCAAAGCTGAACCATAACCGAAAAACCGAGGAAAGAAAAAAACCTCACCAAACCGCAAAAAAATAACCGAAAATCGAAAGGTTTGGTGTGGTTTTGGTTTCGGATGTCTGAAAACCGAAACCGAACACAAAAACCGATTATATATATTATAAGAAAATTATATTATTTATAGATATATATTATTAATATACATAACATTTTATGTAGAAACTTCAAACTTGGGCTTAAATGAAGCCCAAAAAAAAAGATGGCATTGGCCTGCGTTCCAACATTACTACATAGTCTACATTAGACTTTAATTATATTTCTAGTCGTCCATCGCCCCCAAAGTCCCAAACCCAACGAGCTTTTGGTCCTTCGCGCTCCGTCTCGTCCCCTCTCGTCCATCGCCCCCAAATCTAGAGTTCTCCCATCCATCGGCCCTAAATCTTGGGTTCTCTCATCACCGGCGAAGAAATCCTTTCTGTCATGTGGTACTGTAGCTTTCTCTTTCCCCAAATGTTGGTCATGGAGGAGCTTGCTGCTGAACTTGAAGTGCTGATCTATCATCTACATGTTTCTGCTATTCTAGTTTTTCATCGCTTTTTTTCTTTTCGAAAACTGTTATGTGGCATTGTGGGCTGCCCTTTTTTTATTTTTTTCCTTTTCTTTTCTTTTCGGAAACGGTTATGTAATATGAGACATTTCTACTTTCTACTTTTCTAGACTTGTTTTCTTTATAGAATAACCGAAAAAAACCGATATAAACCAGAGAAAAACCAAACCGAACACAATTGGTTTATGAAAAAATAAGATAACCGAAAAAAACCGATATAAACCAGAGAAAAACCAAACCGAACACAATTGGTTTATGAAAAAATAAGTGAAAAACCGAACCGAACCGAACCGAAAAAATAGATCGGTTTGGTGTTCGGTGTCACCTATTAACCGCATCATTCAAACCGATTAACAGTCCTACCAGGGGCTGACACCTCACTTGT